CTGGACGTGTAATCCCAGCTACTCGGGAGGCTGAGGCAGGAGAATTGTTTGAATCTGGGAGGCTAGAGGTTGCAGTGAGCCGAGATTGAGCCATTACACTCCAGCCTGGGTGACAGGGTGAGACTCCATCTCAAAAAAAAAAAGGCAGTCATGGGGTCACGTGCCAGCCAAGGTAGAAGGATGGCTGAGTCTGAGAGGTCGAGGCTGCAATGAGCCGTTGTCGCACCACTGTACTTCAGCCTCAGTGACAGGGCAAGACCCTGTCTCAAAAAAAAGAAAAAGAAAAGAAAAACAAAACACATGTGGCCCAAAAGCTCTGTAGGTGATGAACTGGTCTTGAGGCCACTTCTAATGCCCCACCTGTCCCAGCTGTCCCATTTCTCTCAGTGGCTACCGTGTCCCCAACCAGACGGCAGAAAGCGTCCAGGGTTCCCGAGCCCAGGGCTTGTGAGGTCCCCAGGTGCTCACAGAGGCCCAGGCCAAGGCCTGCTCTCCCCAGGAGGCGTCCCCATCACTGTCACACCCAGACTGTATCTGGGACTGGGAGGGAGCTGCCTGCAGCTCCAGGGTCTTGCAACCTGCCCTCCCAGGGCTGGCGTCCTCCATTCCAGTTCAGAGCACTCCGGGAAATGACTCCTGGCACATGAGGGGCCTGGGGACGGGCAGCTTCCTGACTGCTCCCTGCCACCCCGTTCCGCAACATCAGCCCCAGAGTGGGGCATTTCTAGGCCTGAGTGTCCATCGCCTACACCACTTCCTGGCGGGGTGGCCTTGGGAGGTGCCGGCGCCTCTCTCAGCCTCAGCTTCCCTATCTGTGAAATGGGGAGCCCACCCCACTTCCCACCACGGTGGTCCCTGCTGCCTTACAAAGCCCCAGCCCTTGAGTTTCCAGGCCTCCCCTCTCCTCCCCAGCCCTGACCTGCCCCCGCCCTCACCCCACAGGCACCACCCTGGACGTGGTGGAGGTGGAGAGCTACGACCCCTACACGGACAGCTGGACACCCATCAGCCCAGCCCTCAAATACGTCAGCAACTTCTCGGCCGCCGGCTGCCGGGGCCGGCTTTACCTGGTGGGCTCCAGTGCCTGCAAGTACAACGCCCTGGCCCTGCAGTGCTACAACCCTGTCACAGGTGGGCGGGGCTCAGGGACCGAGGACAGAGGACCACAGGCCCCTCTGACAGGCGACAGTCCGCTGGCAGTGATGGCGAGAATGGGGACTCCTGAGGATAGACGGGGCCCGGGGTGGAGAGAGCTGGTGGCCGCAGCCTCTCACAAAGAGGAGGGGACGCGGAGGAAGGCAGGGGCCCAAGGGGTCGGGGACCCGCTGCATCACCTCCGCAGAGTCCCAGCGCAGAGGCGAGCTGCACATCTGTCCTGCTTAGGCCTTAGGGCAGCAGTGGGCTGGGGCTGGGGGTAGGGTGCCAGTGACCTGAGCCCAGCACCTGGCAGCTGCCTGACTGTTCTACCCAAAAAGGCCTCACGGACCAGGAGTGCTGACCCCCAACCTCCGAGGCCCTGAGGCCCATCTTGGGTTCTGGACTCTGTGCCAGAGTTGGAGGCCCAGCTCAGCCTCCCTGAACTCTGAGCCGTCCAGCCCTGACCCTGGTTTCCAGTCC